CAACAAGTATTATAACCCAACCTACAGATGTTTTAAATATTCAGAGCTGCTTGCAGTGCAAGTGTCTCAAGAGTTGCAAGCTTGTGATTGTTTACTGAGCTGTCATGTTTGAATTAACCCTTTAACTCCCAGATAACATTTGTAACTCTCCTAACTGTCAACCATACAATTGTTATCATGTAAGTTCAGAGAATTTGGTATTGGATCAACTAATTATTCCCAAATTGACATTTCTCTTTATTCTCATCACTTATTTGGTTGATATTGTATTGATACTGTCAGGAGAAATTATGTCTTGGTCACTCATGGGAGTTCAAGGGTTAAGGTTACATCACAGTTGTTGGATTTTCTTTCTCCATCAAAATTTCTTTCTCTTCCCTTCCAGACCAATTTTTCATCACTAAGCTAACAATTATGGGTTAACTGTAATTGAAGATATTGCAAAAAAAGGAAGAGCCTAAAAAGCCCTTTGGGCTTTGACATGATTCAAACCCATGCAAAAACCAAAAATATTTCTGCATTACACTGCTCCACAGGCTACATGAACAGATGAGGAAAGTAATTAAGTTTGAATCTTACCTGGTTTTTGAGCCCCTTTCTCAACTCCTGCAGCTGCTTTTAGAAAATGTGAGACTGGAGGTGAAGTCATTTCAAAGCTAAATGAGCGATCACCCTACAAGACAAAACACATGATCATAAACTTTTCCTTGAGGTTGATAGCTTTTCAATATTGGTTACTTATGTGAGAATATCAATGTATTGTGTCCTTTGATTCACAAACCAATGGTCCACTGATCAATCATTCCATTGACCAACTAATCATTACAGCAACCAATCAATTGATAAGTCAGCTTAGTTCTGAATTTTCAATAAATAAGTCAAATAAAAAATAAATACATCATATCTGCAGCATTGTAGTTTAACATAAAAACCTCCACTACAGCACAGCCATTTGGCCATATCAGAACATGCAAAATATGTGTTTATTTATAACTTAAAATTGATATATTTATAGCGCACCAAGTATGTGAAAAGAGTGCTTGAAGTGTTTGACACTTAAATAAAGTTTCTTAATCCTTTGACCACTACGAGGGGCCAAGCATCTGATTTTTCCTTTCAATATCACCCCTGAATCAAACATTAAGATCATGAGAATAAAGGAAATGATAACAAATTAAAGAAGCTCTCGATTGTTAAACAAATTCTCCTTGTCAGCACCTAGGAAAATATATTAAGAACAGAATGGAGAATGTGCATACTGATCTTAGGGCGTAAAGAGTTAAAAGGTGTATAAAGAAATGTGCCCTTGCAGTGTGCCTAGGCCTTGTGTTGACACTCAGATAAAGAAAAAAACTAACAAGCAACACAAAAGAAACGTCAAAATAATGGCACTGCACATTCTTGAAGTGAAGTTCAAAGGGAAAATCCTTCATCAAGGATTTTTGTCCATTCAATTAGACAGTCTGTTACAGATTTTAGCAACACGTCTTGTTATAAAAGCCAGCAATTGCTCCCAGCGAGAAGAACTGACACAAGTTGATTATACTCAATATTTACCTTGTAAGAGATGATCGTAGGAATTGGAATTCCAGTGATAATGTGCTTAGTTCTTTCGTTAAACTCTTTGCAAAACTGCGCTATGTTCACTCCTCGCTGTTCATCCAAAACAGAAACGAAACTCAGCTTAACAGGAATCCAGCAAAAATCAATCAAAATATCACAAGGCTATTTTACCTGTCCAAGTGAAGGGCCTAGCGGGGGAGAAGGAGATGCTTTACCTGCGGCAATATATGTTCGCAGAACCCCGCTTAACTGTTTGGTCGCCATCTTGAATGTCGATGGAGACAGTCCCAAGTTACCTTGCGCGTTATAACCTCTGTGATATCTTTAGGTCATACTTCCCTTTTTCAATTTTTTTTTCCTCAAATTTGTTTTTGATTTTTTGATAATTGTTTTTGAAGCCTTCCTAAAAACAGGAAGGCTATGTGCGTTCGCTTGCTTAGCTTGAATCAAGTTGGAAGGGTAGTTTTAAACTAGATACGAGTAGAAACAATTTCTTTTTTTTGGTTCTAATTGTTGTCTTAAAAGAGACACAATTGATTGCGTTTGTATAGAAACACAACTCGTGACTTCTAACAAGGGGTTTTTCCCTTTTCAGTTTCGCTGTAATGGAGCGTCATGTTTCTAAATATTCTTGAACAAACATCAAATAATGGAAGCGGGTTAAGCGATCTTAGGGGTTCTAAACTTATCTCCCGGAAGATTATATTAATGCTGGAGTCGTTTACCAGAATTTTCACTTCCTTCACGGTTCGAAAGCTTAATCTTTCGGTTTCATGAGGAAACATTTCTGAACTCGAAATCTGCCAAGTCATCGTCTTCTCTACAGGAGAAATTAATTTTTCATCAACGCCTTTTTTCAAAAAAGAGCGAGAAATTCTCCTGATGTAATCCCCATCGGGGTTTCCCCTCAAATTCTGTAGATATTTCCAACCGAGACAAACGTTAGTTCCGTTCGATTCGTGACCTCGTCCAGACTGAAACAAGAGCAAACTCCAGCGACCAGAAATGTCGTTTCAGTATGATGAAATTGCAAAGGAAAAAATATCTGCTTTAGGCGCTAAACTCGGGATTATTGGAAACCAAGCTGACGGTTCACAATTGAGGAATAATTCCCTTGTATTACCGGTAGCTGGCGAAACTGTCTCAAAGATAGTACAAGAATGGCAACAAGAACTTCTCGCTCACCTCAAACCTGTGTCACCCGCGCCAAAAGT